CACTGCAAACTGACTATACGTCAATAAAAAGTATTTTAAAAATAAATAAATAAAATAACTTTTACAAGACCACATATTGTATGATACCATTTATATGGAATGTCCAGAAGAGGCTAAACTATGAAGACAGACAGCAGATTAAGGGCGGCCTGGGACTAGGGGTGGGGATGCGAATGGAATTATCTGTAATCCTCACTTGATTACAGTAAACAACTCATTTGTAATCCCCAAATCGAGGCTCTATACCTCAATTTTCTCATCTGCTACTTAGTAACAATTACAGTACCTAGTCACAAGGGCTCTTTGAAGATCAAATGAGACAATACAGGTTAAAAGCCTAGAACAGTGCCTGGCAGTTAGTGAGGGCTCAAGATGTACACATACAAGCCCAGCTTAAAAAATCAGAAAATAAAATGCATGTAAGAAAAACATGTAATTAATGAATCATAAACACAGGAAAAAGCACAAGCTCACACTTTTAAAGATTCAGCAACAAACTATACTTCATCCTTGACAACTCCTTAATCCAGGTAAATAATTAAAAATACTTTGGGAGAACTTTTTAAATATACACAATCAAGTATAAGAACAATGAAAACTTACTAAATATACTGTTATTTCCCTAGTATTTGGGGTCTATGAAGTATAAGGAAATGTTGAGACTCTTCCTCAGCTTCTCATCTTAAGTTGACATTTTGATGTGCAATTTCCTAATTATATTTTTTTTAGTATTTTCCACATTTTTTCCTATACATAAAAGTATTTTACTGAAAATGGGCTTCCATCTTATATTTTTACTCTATTAAGTTTTTTTTATATAAAGAGTAGGCTGTTGTTCATCTTAACAATATAATCCTGGACCAAAAACCCCAGAAGTCAAAACTGAGGCCAAAGGCACCTATTTCACTGACACAGATACACTCTTTCATGTTTCTTGCCCTTTATAACGTATGCTATGGCACTGAAGGCACCGAAGTTCTCTCTTCCAGTAGGTGTCAAATAATGATGTAGACACTGCCTCCTGAACTCAACTCTGTTCACTGACTCTTCTAACAGAGGTATACAAAGTGAAAAGTTGCTAACCTATCACTCCATCAAACAGTTGTTTAATTTTAATTCTTTGAAATAATTCCTTCATTGAACATAAACTGCTTATCTTTGGTTAAACTATTTCCTCACCAGCATCAATATTTATATTCCCCTTATTATTATCTCTAAGACCATTTATAAAGTGAACTTCTGTTTTCATTAATCTCTGATTCCTTAAGTATCCTCAGGAAAAGTTCCTAACAGGAGAAAGTAGAGACAAATTTCGATACTCAATAAATTTTACCTAACCTCAAAAACAACTTTACTCTTTAAACTGCATTATAAAAAATACGTTAGTCTTTACATCAGTTTTCCATGGAAATATATAACTGTTTGAATATTTAAATATAGCTTCTCCTTAGCAAAAAATTGTCACTCAGAGCCCTAGTTAACAAAAAATTTAAAGCATAAACCCAAAACACACTTTACACAATGTTATCTACATATTGTACAATTTGGAACAATTATAATACACATCTACACAAGATACTGAACAAGGACAAGATTCATAAGATACTCATGTGGTTATAATTTGATTTTCACTATTGAAAGAATTTAACACTTACTTGAATGCACAAAAAACAACTGTTTTATCTAATATGCAAATTAAGCCAAACTGTATTTTGGCAAATACATCTGTATCCTACCAAATTCTGAAAGTTATTCACTTCTTATTTAATCATAACTTTATTTATAATTTCAAGATCTCAACTTGTCTAAAATAATGATTATAGGAATTTGGTAAACATTTCCAAAATGTCTAAAAAATCATCAGGACTTTTATACTTTGATAAAAATTTTAGATACATACCTTTCCCTCTCAAAAGAAAATGGTACTAAACAACAAGTTCATACTGTACAGCACAGGGAACCACATTCAATATTTCATAGTAACTTACGGTGAAAAAGAATATGAAAACAAATGTATGTATGTTCCTATATGACTGAAGCATTGTGCCGTACACCAGAAATTGACACAACACTGTAAACTGACTATACTTCAATAAAAATGTATTTTTAAAAAATTTGGAAAGAAAAAGGTACTTAGAAGAGTTTCCAATGCAAAAAATGTAGTAAAATTTTTTTAACTTCAAGTTTTTGATCACTCAGATTATAAGAACTATCGTCTCTGCATGATGTGATCACAATAGATGTATAATTACGTGGTACATTATTTCCATATGATCTCTTACTTTTAAACTGACACTAAAAGTATGCAGAATGCTTACTAACTGTACTCAAGGGAGTTGCATGTCTATTTCATAGGGAACAAAGACACCAATACCCACAAGTAGAATATTTTCATGAATTAGTTGCTTGTTTACTTCCTAAACAGGTTTTTTTCCTAAATTAAAATTGGAGAGTTATTTTAAAGTAATAGACCACAGTCATACTTTAAGAAATTAAAATATTCATATATGAGGCAAAGTTGAAGCTGCTGCAACTAAAAATATAAACATTTGTCCATTTTTTCCAACATACTTACCGTTTTAAATTTAGAAGTAAAGAAATTACAACACACCATAACATACCCACAGGTTAAATAATGGCTCCTGAAATAAAGCTATATTTAGAAACCAATTGTTACACTATATTTTATTAATTCTAAGGTAATAAATAGAGTTTTATCTCTGAAATCATGGTACACTGATCTAGTTTCAATAAAATATGGTTTATACAATGTAACAGTTGAAATCCATGTTTCCCTTTAACACTGATGGCAGAGAAGGATCCAGGGTCCTTGGCTTAACAGGGTAATTGGATGTACCTGTACCAGTTCAACCTGTGTCCCTGAATAAAGGGTCTAAACATATTGTGAGTACCTCAGGCCTAAACTGCCTCTCTTGACATCTTTTATTTGAACTACTAAAATCAGTTGGCAAGTTTAAGGAAAGCCAAACTAACGTACAATGACATAGTTTTTCACTTGCAAAATGGGCCTTCACCTAGGTTATCAGTTTTATTAGATCTTTTGAAATATTAAGATTATAAGTAATTTATTAATAACAAAAATTAATGGTCTGCCCAAATTACCAAACCAGTAATTTCAGTTCAAGCTATTAAAAAAAATATGGTAACGTCTAAAATATTTTTAAGAGATAAAGCCCCATAAGATAACCTGGATTTTCATATTAAACCACCAACCCTTCCAGGTGGAGGGGAATAAAGGTGGTAGAAAAGCATAACCACACTGGCAAGATCATCCCTCCTTAAGACCTAACAACACTAAGGAAAAATCTACAGAGCCTGCACATGTGCATTCATCCAAATTAGGAAAGTTAGAGACCTACAGGTCCAATTTAAATGAAGCAGGAGAAGTTTGTGTTATGTATTTAAAATCAGCAGGCAGCTTTTAAAAACTGGATTAAAGTTGATGGAATCTCATTTTCTGGAATTCTTTTTAAAAAAGATAAATTACATATTGTGCAGGACTACTTAGGTCCTACTCAAAAGCTGAGATAATCTATTTGACTTTCTGTTTTTAAATTATCCAATTAGAATACAACATTGACAACATTACTCAGAAACTCACAAAAGATAACTATATATTCATTTGTTCAATTTTTTAAAAGTAGAACATAAGATAGCATTTAATGTGTGCCATATTCTTTCTTGCAATTATAACCTACTGACACGAGAGATACAATCACAAAAAATAAGTTAAGAGGGACACGATTTCTGAGGAAGAAAACTGTATACACTCTGCTAAATTATGTAATATAAATAAGATGAAGCTCTTCCACAGCAAAGGGTGGTTTTGAATCTTAAAATTAAAAAAAAAGACCCTACACACTAATTTTAAATAAATATAAAAGTTCTAAAAAATAGGTCTATAGCCAAATAATTGAAGATTAATTTTTTCACCAAAGTTAGGAAAGCTCTGTACACAAGGTACCAAATACATTTTCCACTGAGGTACTGAATCCTCAACCAGCTTTAACAGAAACACCTCTAATTCACCTTATTATCTTGAAATTTGTGTGACAGCCGAGTACTCATTCTATCAGTATATGGTACCTGAGAATATAAGCTTCTCAAATCATATACTCTCACAGGTCTAGAAGGCTTTCTTTGATTTCTTCTAGGGCTTCTTTTAATACCATTGTTCGTACTTCCTGCAGGAACAGGAGAATCCTGCACAGGTTGCTTGGGAGAAGAGCTTGCTGGAGCTCCTGACTGCTCTTCAGCACCAGCTGAGGGAACCGAGTTTGGAAGAATTTTGGCTGGATTCTTTGCCTTCTTTAACCTACTAACATGAGATTTTTTCTTCTTATGATGCATCCTAATTAAAGTGTTCTTGGACCAATATTTGTGACGCAGAAAAACAGAGTATTTTAGAATATACTTTTTAATTATATCACTTAATTTGGTCTGACTCCAAATTGACTGTGTTTCTGAAGCAATGCTGGTTTTTTGCTGGGGAATAATTGGTCTACAGCCCTTTTGGGGAAAACCTGGCTTATTATTAGTTGTCACCTTCTTTCTCTGAATTTTCTTTTTACTTTCAGAGAACTGATTTCTAACTGATTTTGGAGAAATGTTCGTAACATCACAATTTAAAAGAGCTGACTGGAAATTACTTTCCTTTGGAACTTCACTAGAATTCAAAATCTCAGATTCTTCCAGAAACACAGAAGGCTCACTGGCCTCCTGATGTGACATTACTTCATGTCCTACTGTCACTGTCATAAAAGGTGCTGAAGCAGAGCTCTGTACATAAGTGTCATCATCTCCTCCATGGGAGTTCAGGTCACTAAAATGAATTTCAACACAGTTATTCCTGTCCGAATTTGGTACTTCTATGTTCAAAGAAGGATCAATTACAATTCGCTTATTCAATGGGTCATAATAATTATAGGAACTCTGTTTATCTCTGTACTGAATGTTAATATCCCAATTATTTCTACTACAGTGCCTCATTTTAGAGAAGTTGTTGGGTTCACCTTTCTTCTGCTTAATATTTGAAGAAAGAACATAAACTAAGGCATTTGGTTGCAAAGACTTCAAGACTGTACTACATGACTCAGGAAATTCAGCTGTTCCAATTTTTACGTTCTTTCTTGTTTTTCTGTCGTTCTGTAAAAGTGGATGTTTCCTTCCTGGAGAGTCTTTCTCTTGTCCAGTCATTCTTCTTTTCATCCCTGGGTGACTTGAGAGATTGGTTTGAGTTCCATGGCTGACTTTTACAGCCTGGCATCGAGAAGCCACTCGCCATGTTTGCTCACAGTGCCTCTTTGTTGAAAGAAAATGGCTAGGTTTATCTAAGGCCACTGGAAAGTCATCAGTATCTGAAATACCACCTACACCATCATCACAATCTGAGACGACCTGAATTGATGTAGTGTCCTGCTCAAGGTCAGCCCAGGCAATCTTTTTTCCTTTATTCAGTTTTTTTTTTTATTTTCCTGGTCTCACGGTCATCAACGTAACAGCGGAAGCTATCTCCCTTAAATTCCTTCGCAAGAGCATTAGTATTCATGTCACCTTCTCTCATTATTTGAGACCACGTTTTCCCCACCAATGAAGCAGGGGTTTGAGGCACGCCTTCAGGAACTTGTTCATCAGGATCATCCTCTGTGACCTCTTTTGCTTTTTCCAGGTTCCCTATAGAATCAACCCTGGGAACAGAGCTTGAATGGCAATTATAGTTTGTTTCTTTCAGGTCAAAAGACACCTTCTTTAGAAGGCCTGTTTTATTAACAGCTTTTTGAGGCTGATCAGTGTTAGACTGATGAGAGGGATCACACTGAAAATTCATCCCAGAACCACAAGGGTCAGAGCTCATACTTTCTAGATCCGCACATTTTAACTTCAGAAGGTTTTCTTTATCAGCCATTTGGTGGATCACCAACTCAGGAGACTCATTACAACCCTTGGCAGAAACATTAGATTCATAGTTCTTATCTTTTAAGCCAGTATTTTCTACATCTTTCCAAAGGCTGACTCCTTTGTCAACCTTCTGCAGTTGATGAGCCAGTGGCTGACAAGTGTCTTCCCATTCAAATTTTCGTTTCAGACTATTAGACTGACAGCTCTTATCTTTTGGGTCAATACATTTTGCCTTTTTTTTTCAGGCCCTAGTGATTGGTAAGTTGTGGACTGATGAGAAGCATCAACCGGAAAACTGACTTCAGAACCATAAGGCTCACAACTTGACTCTTCCAGAATAATATAGTCTTTCTTCTGGTTTACTATTTTGAAGGTTTTTTTGGAGTGGTGTGTCACTGATTGAGAAGAGGCTTCACAAACACATCCTAGCTCAGTATCACAAGAGTCACAGCTCTCACTTTCTAGAACAAAACTTTCAGCATTTATACAGCTGATTCCTTGGACAGTCATTTGAGGTGAGTCAATCACTGGCTGAAAAGGGACATCAGAATCTGAAATCACTTCACAATCATTATCACCAGTCACCAGGTTCACCGACACTTGAGGTTCATTTATCACTATTTGAAAAGAGACATCAGAATCACACATTATGTCAGAATCACTAGGTTCACTGGTCTTTTCTTCCATGCCAAGATGCTCTTTCTTCTGAAGGTTCATTTCTTTGCAAACCACTTGAGATTGGCCAACTTCTAAACAAAGATGAACACCAGAATCATTCTTCTCTTGCAAGTTTATTTCTTTGACAGCCTCGGGAGAATGACCAGCTACAAAGTGAACATCAGAATCATAACTTACTTCAAAATCACCTAGTTTATATTTCTTATCTTCCAGGTAAACATGGTCTTCCTGCCAAAGACCTATTTCTTTAACAGACTTTGGAATGTGGTCAGCCACTGACTGAAAAGTTTCATCAGAAACAAAATTTATATCAGGACCACAAGGATCACTGCTTTTATCTTCCAAATTGGCTTGTTGCTCTTCCAAAACATGTGGCTGCTCAACCATTGACTGAAGAGGGGCATTTGAAACAAAAATGATTTCAGAATCACTGGGTTCATAGCTCTTAGCATCCAGACAAACCTGTCCCTCCCTCAGACTTATTTCTGTAACAGCCTCTTGAATTTCATTAGTCACAGACTGAAGAGGTGCATCAGAATCAAAATTTATTTTTGAATCACTAGGTTTGACAACCTTATCTTCCAAGTCAACATGCTCCTTCCAAAGGTTGATCTCCTTAACAACTTCTCTAGTTTGGCCAGCCACTGACTGAAAAAGGACATCAGAATCATATACAATTTCAAAATGCTTAGATTTATCTCTCTTATCTTCCATGTCAACTTGATCCTTGCAAAGGCTTTTTTCTTTAACAGTTTCTCTAAGCTGGTCAGGCACTGACTGAAGGGGATCAACAGAATCAACACTTATTTCAGAACCACAAGATTGATTGTGTTTATCTTCTAGCTCAGTGTGCTCTTGTTCCAGAATAGTTATCTGAGGATGATTAACTGTTGACTGAACCATGAACTCAGAATCCAATCTCATTTCAGACCCGCTAGATCGGCTGTTCTTATCTTCTGAGTACACATGACCTTCATTCTCAAGGTTTATTTGTTTAACACCTACTTCAGGTTGATCAGACACAGACTGGAGAGAAACATCAGAATTATGTATTAATTTAGAAACATTAGGTTCATTGACCTTATTTTTCAGGCCCATATCATCTTCCTTCCATGGGTTTGTTTTTCTGATCACTTTCCGAAATTGTCCAGGCAATGAATGAAGGTGATCAGAATTAAAACCTACTTTACCACCACCAGATCCACTGTTTTTATCTCCCAGATCAACATGTTTTTCCTTCAAAAGGGCTAGCTGAGGTTGGTCAAGAACTGAATGAAGAGGGGCATTAACACCCAAATTTATTTCAAAATTTCCAGGTCTAGTACTTTCAACTTCTGGGTCAACATGGTCCTCCTTCAAAACAGTTACTTGAGGTTTTTCAGTCAATGACCGAGGAGGGACATCAGAGTCCGAAATTGTATCAGAACCACTATATTTATTGCTCTTATTTTCTAGACCAACACATTCTACTTTCTGAACATTTATTTCTTTAACAGCTATTTGAGGTTCTATTATTGAACAATGAGGGATATCAGAATCTAAATTTGTTTCAGAACCACTAAATTCAGCACATTTAGCTTTTATTTGAGCATGCTTTTCTTTTTGAAGCCATAGTTTTTTAACAACCATTTCAGGTTTGTAGATCACTGACTGAAGACGAATACCGGAATTCCAACTTGTTTCAGAAATACTTAACTCATTACCCTTCTCTGCTAAGTTTGCATGTTCTTCTTTTTGAAGGTTTATTTCTTTAATAGCTACGTCAGGATGATTCGCCACTAACTGAAAAGAGGTATCAGATTTCGAACTGCCTTCAGAAACACTGGGTACATTATTCTTATTTTCTAAGTGTACATTCTCTTCTTTCTGAAGGCTTCTTTCTTTAATGGGATCTTCAGAATGTCCAGTAACTGAGTGAAAAATACCATAATCAAAACTTAATTCAGAACCATTAGGTTTGTTTTCTCTATTTTCGACTGGTACCCACTCTTCTTTTTGAAAACTTAACAGCTTTTTAACAGCTTCTTCTGGAGGGTTAGTCACTGGGTGAAAAGGGATATAAGAATCCAAACTTATCTTGGAAGTGGTGGGTTCATCGTCCTTCCCTCCTAAGTGTACATACTCTTCTTTCTGAATGACTGTTTCTTTATCAGCTAATTCAGGCTGATCAGGCCCTAAATGAAGAGGAGTATCAGAATCCAAAGTTATTCTAGAGCTAATTGACTCAAAGCTCTTATCTTCCAGGTTAATGTGCTTCTTTCTTACTTCTTCAACATCCAGCTCAGAATACTCAGTAACTGATGTAAGAGGAGAATTGGAATCAAAAGTGAACTCAGAACTGGAGCACCTATAGCTTTTAACTTCCATGTCAATATTTAACTCTTTCAGATTTCTTTCACTCAAAGCCCCTTGAGGTTGGTCATTACCTGATCGATAAAGAGAAGCATGAGAACCAAAAGTTAGACCAGGAAGACTAGATATAACACTCTTATTCTCCAAGTCAACAGCTACTTCCTGAATGTTTACTTCTTTAACTGCTACTTGGGATTGGTCAGGTACTAATTGAGCATCAGTGTGAAAACTCATCTCAGAGCCATAAGACTCATAGCTCATATCCATAAGGTCATTCTTCTCTTTCAGATTTATTTCTTCAATGGCCTTCTGAGGTTCATCAGTCACTGTCTCAAGAGAGACATCACAATCAAGATGTGCTTTAGCACTACTGGGTTTACGATTCTTATCTTTCAGGTAAACAAGCCTATCTACCAGGTTTCTTTCTTGGACAGCCAGTTGGGGATGATCAACAACTGACTGAAGAGAAATATCAGAGTCAAAACTTGTTTCAGAACAACTTGATCCATAGTTCTTATCAACCAAGCCAATGTGAACCTTCTTCTGAAGCTTT